ATTAAACTGTATTTAAACAATATTGATTTTTCTTTATTTATTTTTATTTTTCTTTACTTGCTTAGGTCACACTTTTTTTTACAATTATTTAACCAGGTGCTCGAATGTTTTTCAATGCCTAAATATTAATGCCCGTAATATAGCATATTTCTAATATTCACTCTTTTAATCTCCCCTCAAAGTGCTGCCACTGCTATGCATCTCATGCCCGTAGACGAAACTGAAGGCCTGATCAGTTCTGTGCCAAGAACAAATATGCCAACACACAAAATAATTAACCCGGTTTCTTTTTTTCATTTTTGGGCTGTTGCTTCTTTCCATTGCCACTTACCTAATCAAGCTGGAAAGGTGAGCGAGAAGAAGAAGAAAAAACCGGAAATGCCGGAAAATGAAAAAGAAAAAGAAGACGCAAAAAGTTGAAGTAGATGTGGATGAAGAGCCACGCCAATCAAATTAAAAAGGGACCAGTAGCACATCAAGTAGACATGCTTAGCATAGATAAGAACAACAACAACAACAACAGCAGCTGCAGCACCAGCAACAGCAACAACAACAAGCATACGAAAAAGAAAGAAATATACTTACAAAAGGAAAGCAAGAAAATTGTTGGTGTTCATAAAACATGAGTTATCTGTGTGTAGGTCCGCAGCGGAAGATGAATTTTTAATTTGTGATGCTGCTTCCCGTTTTAATTGTTGTTGACAGACGACTGACTGACAGCGTAATTTACAATCCTTTGCCCCCCGTCCCACGCCAGCCTAGTCTCTCCGCCCTCTACTAGCTCTCAGATGTGGTCTGTTTGGGGGTGAAATTTTAATTAAAGAAATTGCGGTTAATCCCGTTAGCAGCGCATGGAATGGAAAAAAAATGAGAGAATGTTTCAACATCTCAAAGAAGTTGGAGAAAGTGCCAAAGGCTGCTGTAATTTCTGTATTTTGTCGCTCCAACTGTGTGTAGTATACAACATTTTTTGCTAATTGTTAAAGCTCAGCTCAAAATCTCTCACAGACCCTCTCAAAAAAAATCTCTCACTCTAACCCAAAATTTAATATGAATATTTGTGTGTCAAAAAAAAAGATCCAAAATGTTAACACCTTCTTTACCGAAAGGTGGGCACGTGAATGAATTTGCTTTCATTTGCATGTTGTTAATGGGATTTATTACCATGGCTTGGAATAGCTTGCTATGGGGAGTATGATGCTAGGTGCACACGCTTCTACTCTTCTGCATATTTGTCAAAGAAATTTAAGTAATTGCATTTTATGCCATTTGAACATCAATTTGCATAAAAATTATAGCCTGTTGTATGCAGGAAAATCATTTTCAACACATACGCACATTGTAAAAGAGTTCCAAGCAAAAAGGCGTAACAAATAAGATTGACGTAGGCAGGGAAAATTATAAGCAAAAATAAAAAAGTACCTAAGCTGCATTTGTTGATTTCTTTTTGCTTTTTAGAATATATTTGATTGCATCCAATAAAGCCTCATTATGCTTAGAGCATATGCTACAGCGGACTAATGTAAATTAACAGCTCGCTGTTGTACGTTAACAGTAGTGCCTCAGGCAATTCTTACAGAAACAAGATCAATGTACTGCTTTCATTTGTACTGCTTGCTATTGTTAAATGGGCGGGTTTGCTGCTTAAACTGAATTGAAATTTGAAGTTATGATTTATGATTTAAATAAATGTATATATATTTTAGATATTATTAAAATAATGAAATCATATATATTTTGATATTAGCCTTTATTGGAATTCATGAATTATAACGTTAAGCACCGGTAAAATTGAAAAGTTAAAGCTTAACAGAATTGTGATTGCTGAGCCAATCAGCCATACAAAGTAAGAGCAGCATGTATGTGTGTGTGTATGCGAGTATGTTCTGGCCATGTTGTGGGACAACATGCTCGACACATATAAGAAATTAACTTAAAAAGTCATTTTGCTGGCAGACAGCGTCCTAAAGAGCCAGCGCGAAGGTGTTCTCGAGCTGAGCTGCAGCGAGAGTGAGAAAAAAGGATTAATTGCATGAACAGCGACAGAGCGAGAGAGAGAGAGAGAGAGAGAGAGAGACAGAGAGTCAGGGTGAAAGAGAGAGCGAGACAAAGTAAGCGAAGCTGAAGGCATGACATCATCAGGATATCGCAATGGCAATGGCGCTGGCAACGCGCCGCATGAAGCACTGAGCAGTGAATATCCTGGCTTTTCTATAAGCCATTGACTTGCACACATCTGCGTCCACATCCGCATCCTTTTGCTTGCACACACAGAGCACAAACACACTTACACACACACAGATTGGCAGAGGCACAGACACGGCTGAAGGATGTGCGAGTCGCGCGCATGTGTGGAGTATTTTTTAATAGTGTTTCGTGTGCCTCTTGGCGTTAATTTATGCCACAAAATCATTTTCTTTTATACTCGCAGCCACATGCAAAATAAAAATTAAAACTGAAATATGAAAAAGGCAAAAATATAAATAAAAAAAAAAAAAAGACGCCATGAGAAAATAAAGGCAAACTACACGAGTTGCTTCGTACATGCAAATTGCGTTGCAGCGCCCGCGGCGATGAGACGCAGTTTATGTCAAGTGAAAAATGAGTGCGAACTATGACATAAAAAAAGAGCTCATCCCTCCGCTCTCCAGCCCTGGTGCACACATCTATTAGAACGCTTTGAAAATTCCTACAAACATCCAAATAAAATATGACAAAAACTTAACGGAACTGCTTAACATCTGAAAGCACATACATAGCTAGCAGATAGCCTCTAGACAAAATTAAGCTGAAGAACTTGAAGCTAATAATTTGAACAGCACTGATGCAGTCATTTGTTAAAGACCCATCATCAATGAATATAGAAAATGTCACAACACTAGTCGTTGTTAACTCGACTAACAGATACTCTATCAAGAAACGCGATACCGCTAATAATTACTTACTAATTACACATTCTTCATATTTTACAATACTCCAACCAGACACAATTTTTAACTATAAAAATAAGTGACAAGTGAGCTCAGTCTAATAAGCTTCAATATTTATTAGAAAGAGAAACCTGAGAGTCAATTTAACAGTAAAAATAATATCGAACACCTTTCCAGGGTATTTCACTCCAAGCTAACCATGGTTTGTAGGGAATTGCAAATTATAGACGAAGATTAGCTCATAGCTTCAATCGAAATTCGAATCGAAACCGAAAACGTAAACAAAAACAGAAACAGATTATTAACGAACTGTATGACATAAGCGAACAGTCTGATAAGAACGGCTATACAAAACAGGGAATATACAACATATTAAAAAGAGTATTGTATATAATACTATTACGTGGTATTTTTCTTCATCCACAATGCATGCGAAAAAAAGAAGAAAAAAAAAACGCCAATTTGCAAAAGTTCAAATCGCAATTAAAAAGTTCGCAGTTGCCCCTCTCAGTCCGTCCCCAAGAGCGACGAGTCAAAGTTACGTAATCTAAGACGCAGTTAAACGCTTTGACTCAATTGAAATAAGCCTATGTTGTAGAGATTCCATGATAATCTATACTATATAGCAAGTAATATACAAATAATATAAACACTATGCTGAGTATACACAGAGAGAGGCTTCAATGTCCACCAGACAAGGCCGCCGTTTCATGTTCAAAGCCATTTGTCGTTTTCACTGGCATCGTAGAAGGTTGCACAAATTGAGGAATTGCACTGTAAACGACGAGCCAGCGCGGGGTTATAGATAGTGACAGTACTACAAACGACCATGTGCATAATATGCAAGTGATTTGTTCTATAATTCAGTTAGTGAACACATCTTTCTAGACTTTCAACAGGCATCTCTAGACAGACACTTTCCCCTACAAATCTGCAATTATAGCAAACCGAGCCTTTTTTTTATTATTTCTCGATAATGATTTGATTGAAATGATATATAAGGGCTAATATGAATTAAAATGATGATTAAAGCTTATGCCTTCTATATAAACCATCTCTCTTTCTCTCTATTGCTCTCTCTTTGTTTCGCTTCATTACTCCCTCTCTCTCTCTATATATATCTCATGTATATCTTTTTATGCCTTGCTCTCGCTCTTGCGCTCCTCCATCTCTTCTACCAATCAAATTATATATATAAATTTTAGTGCTACAAAATTGTATCACATCTGATTGCAAGCTATTGTCCATATTTCTTAATTTTCTATCGCCATAAATGTAGCAAATGAGTGAAAGAGATTCAATCTAGTAAATGGCTAAACAACGGGATGATTAAAGCCACATTCACTCATCGTGTTGCCTTGGCTCAATTCATTCAACTCTCAAAAGTAAAAACTAAATATGTAGCAGCACGATTTCAATATAAAATTCGCCCACTCAAATAATACTCAACTAAAAATAACGACACGAAATAAACACGAAACTAAAATATTATTTAGAAACGAGTACGTGCGCACAACTAAAATATTATCTAGACACGAGTGCGTGCCTCTGTTGTCTGATAAATCTTACGAGCATGAATGCTTAGCAAGGACGTTTATTTTTAAGTTTAAGAAATCATACATATACATATTTCAACAGATTTCAAATATCACTTGGAAAACGTTTGGGGCATTGGAATATACGAGAATCGAAACTGATGTCAGCTTGAATCAGCGTTGAACTTGACATTGAAACCCAAAACGGTGAGATACGCTCTGAAGTATATGAAATAAAGTTATATATAAAATAAAATAAATATATTTCTATATTTACTAGCATATATAGACAGAGATAACAATTTGGCTGATCGGAACCAGAGCTCCAGCTGTACCAACTGTACAGCCGTTGATATACTGACACGTGACATTGTCGAAGCGAAACACAAATATCAGCGACATCATCATCATCAACATCATTATCATAATCATCAACATGCTGATCATGATTGCTATTGGAGAGGCGGCTACCTTTATCCCGGAGAATGCTGAACTGATAACAAGGCCCTGACTGACCTGGTACTCAACCTTCTGCATCTCTTTGATAGGCTATGATTCAGCGCTTGCAGCAATATGAGCCCTTACATAACCAGCGGCAAGTTTACTTATTAGTCATGTGAGAGATACTAGAGAGAGAGAGGAAGAGAGAGCAAAAGAGAAAAAGAGAGACACAAAGAAAAAGAGAGAGAGACACCATATATTTATATATATCAATAGAAAATATATATCAATAGAAAATATATATGTATGTTAAATATTTAGAGAAAATATTTAATTGCAACTCAACCATGTGTGTTGTTCACTATAAAAATTAGTCGTATGGCTATGACATGCATAGCTGGTATTATAATTTACATATATAGATATATTATGTGTATTTACACTTTTTCAACTTTGGAAGTAGTTTACAAATAGATAGGTTTGATGGTATTATTGATTCTTGTAATTGAGATTGACAGATCACAAGCTGAATTACGGTATATCGGCAGACTGGGAAATTTAAAAGCTATAATATTTCCAAATATCAATTTTTGTTTTCTTGTTACCAAGTAACATAGCCATGCTACTTAGTATACCTTGAAATTCTGCTTTAGATATGGATGACCGTAATAACTTTCTATTATATTTTATTATTATTTTAATAAAAGATAATCCAAATAATTGAAAGTCATATATTTAGCTGATAGCGTTTCTATAGGTTTTTACTAAGTAGCATATCGTTGTGAATCTATTCAATATTCATAATTACAGCAAAACGTTCCATCCTCCTCGCACGGGTTTCCAACTGTAGCAAATTCTTCACAAACGCATTTCTTATGGAAGCAAATGCCACCAGAGCAGAAGCCCCTGCAGAGTTGTTGTGCTTTTGATACTGCAACGGAAGAAGGAACGAGGTGGGAGGTGGGACACACACAATGACAGACAGCAGACGTTGATGGTTGGTATTTTGTTGTTTTGATGGTAAGTGAGGCCAAGAAGTAATACCAATTAAACCCAAAATCATCGATGAGTTTAAGGCTACGTCAAACATTCAACATTCAAACGTTCAACATTCAAACATTCAACATAGGTGATTGATTATATAAACACCTACAGCATAACGTTACGAATTTATTTATCTACACCTTCAAAGCATCCATAACCGTAAATCCAAATAATTTAGAGTCAAACACATATCATTATATTTATTTCAATGTATTAGCAGCTTAGCATTTCGAATTTATTCGTTCAAACAAACAGCAAATTTGTCGTTTGGTTCCGGTAAATATGTTGCATGGCCGCAATCTGGGACGCATTCGGTCCCAATCTGCTTTATATATGGTTGACCATAATATAAGATTAAATCTAATGAATTGAGAATCAAATAAATATCATCATATTTATTTCAGGGTATCAACATAGTTTTTCCATATTTGCTGCCTTTTATATACATATATTCTGGTTACGAAGCAAAATAACAGTCGTGATGCTTCACCGCAATTTCTAACGCATTAGCCCCCGTATTTCGTATTTCGCGCAGGGCACTAGCTCTTCCGGTACTTCAACGGTAAAAGCAACATGTAACAGGATGGGGAACGAAAATTACGGACGAGAGTAGATTAATCATTCTTATTATTATTTGGAAGTCATGGACAACTTTAAAATTAATAACTTTCAATTTTATGTATATTGGATTGTCACAGAAGAAGCCGAAGCAAGACTGTTTTGCATGACAAGTCAAACTTGGTATTGTATATATATATTTAT